CATCTACCAGTACAATGAAAATTACGAAATATGATCAATATTACGTTGATTAGTTTATTGATGAAATTTTGAAACCAATTTCGCTCATATAATGTAATTCAAATTTTGAAACGATTCATTATATAGAATTGAATTTGGTGTGTTTTATTTATTTTTTTGATACATTTTATTGATAGATGTTATTTAAACGTAAAAATAATATATTGCTTTACAAAATAAAATAATTTCATTTATAATATGATATGAAGGATATTGTTGCCTTGAATATAATGTATTTTTGTTTATCATTTTGCCTTTATTGCTGATATAAAATAAAATTTTAATATATATTTTTTTTTAATTTCCTAAAATAAAGTAAACTAATCTTGAACATTGATCAAGAAAATGGATGAATGAGATTGGTTTACACGGTTTACACAAATGGAGGCAGTTTTTATTTGAACGCTCATCTCTCTCTCTCTCTCTCTCTCTCTCTCTCTCTATATATATATATATATATATATATATAAAGAGATAGAGATAGAGAGAGAGATGAGCGATCAAATGCAACCCACTTAATTTGTAAAAAATGTGCAAACCACCTTCATTCGTCGATTTCATTGTTTAATTTCATAAATCTTTTCATGAAATTGTTTAATCGTGTGAAATTGTTTCATATAATACTTTTTTTTATGAATGTGTTTCATATATGGTTATGAAATTGTTTCGTATAATACTTAATGAAATTTTAATGAAACTGTTTCAAATATTTCTCTGAAATTAAAATAATGAAGATGATAATATCCATGATTAACACCCTCCACAATAAAAATGATTAATCAACCTCTCATAATTACAAAAAAATGAAAAAAATGAAAATTATAATTGGTTGAATGAGGTTTGTATAGTTTTTACAAATAACATGGTTTGCAAAGTGAACCCCCCTCTCTCTGTGCTGTCTATATATATATATATATATATATATATATATATATAATACTAATAAATAAGTAACTTTGGGGACACGTGTCACGTTTMTGTGCGACGGTTGTTGATTTTTCCCGCCTAAAATACAATTTTCACTTACTGCCCCCAAACTTACAACATAACTCTCGAAAAATTCACGTATGAATTTAATTCTGGAGTGGTCATCAAAACCGGGTTTAAAATTTCAAATTCGCATTTTTGAAGCATTTTTCACAAAGCAATATTACTCGGGAAAAAAATTTAGAAGAACATGTACTCTTAATACTTAATTAATTAATAATAATGTGAAATTAATTAATTTGTATAGTTATTAAAAGAATATTAATACCTTATTAATTAATAATAGCATAAAGTTAATTAATTTATAACATCTATATACCTAATAAATAAGTAACTTTG